ATCTTTAATGCATTATGAGTGTGGGTTTGCATATGTGTGTAAGTACAAATTGCGTGTGTGTGTGTGTGTGTGTGTGTAGAGGACAGCTGCAGAGAGCTTTGTGCAGCCTTGCTGGTGGCAGCCCATGTGGACCCCACACATTTCTGGCTGGCTTAACCTGCTGTCTGTAGCTTCCCTTCAGTACTGAACATTGCCCAAATCTTTGCCTTCCAGTATCTCTATTGCAGCATCAGCCTTGCTCCTTCATCCCCAGTACACATCACCCTGCTAGGGGCTACATGATAGGGCTGACCTCACAGCATGCTGCATGACCAGCAAGCTTTCCTTTGCAGTTGTCATAGCAGCCACCATGACCCATAATTCCTGAGTTCTGCATATCTGCGAAATCGACTTCATCCAAACAATGCCAAGGTCAAGAGTGTGAGATGTATCTGGGGTCACTTGAGTTCAAGCAGTAGCATGTGTATGTGCTTTTGTGCACTTGTGTCTCTCTCTCTCTCTCTCTCTCTCTCTCTCTCTCTCTGTCTGTCTCTGTCTGTCTCTCTCTCTCTGTCTCTCCCTCTCTCTCCCTCTCACTGTCCCTCTCAGTCTCTTTCTCTGTTTCCGTCTCTGAGGGAAAGAGACTTGGGCATGATTAGCCACTGATGGTAAGGATCCAGTTAGTAAATTTAAAAGATTAGTTATTGGTTGAAAGTGGAGAACTATTTGATAGGGTAACGTCTGGCTCTACTCCATGGACTGTGGTAACTCATTCTCATTTAGCATCACCAACAAGTATTCTTGCCAATGAGGCTATTGAAGTTGATTATTCTATAGCCTACAGATTGTATTTCTAATATACAGGAAGTGTAGAGGATTTAAAAAATAACTTAAACACTGTACGAAAGTAGCTAGGGCATGGTATTGTAAGGATACATCTCCTCTCCCCAACACAGTAATATTCTTGTCTCCTGCCACTGTAACTTCTTTTGCTCTTTAGAGTAAATTTTCTTCGTTTCTTAAGGTATTTCAAGTTAGCTTATGTACTGGAGACCAGTGTCTTAGGCACTGACGCTGTAGTGAAAAATCAAGCAAGAGTCAGTGCATTTTATTGGGTGAAACAGACCACAAATAAGTAAATACATACTAAGTAGTGTTGGAAATAAGGCAAGGCAAAGGGCCCCAATAGTGAGAGTGGTGGGTGCATGCGGTGCCAGAGGGTCGGTGACATTTGAGCAGGCAGGGGTGCAGAGAGCCTGCAGTGAAAACATCAGGGCCAGGAGCATTCCAGAGACAGAGGAAAGCAATGGGAAGACACCAAGACTGGAACTCCTTGGGTGTCTTCAAGGAGCAGCAAGAGTTCTTCAAGAGCTGTGGGAAGGAGGGGTGTCTGGGGTTTGTGGTAGGTGTGAGTAAGAGAGAGCAAGATGGAGGCACTGCTGCTTGACCTCTGAAGGTCAAGATCAACGTCAGCTTTAGGGTCTGGGGACATAGCTCCATTGGTAAAGTGCTTGCCTTGCAAGCAAGATAACCTTCATTCTTCTCTAGAACTCACACAAAGGAAAAAGCCTGGCCTGGAAGTGCATGTGTCATCCCTGTGAATGGGAGGCAGACACATGCAGATCTCTGGGTCTGAAAGGCCTGCCAGTCCAGCCTGCTGGCTGAGCTCCAGGCTAGTGTGAGAGACTCTGTCTCAGAAGAAGGTGGGCTGGGCCTGGGAAACGATACCCCAGTATGCAGGATCATTTCATGTCAGCTTAACACAGCCTACAGTCATGTGAGAGGAGGGAGCCTCAATTGAGAATATGCCTCCATGAGATCTGGCTGTACGACATTTTCTTGATTAGTGATTAATGGGGGAGGGCCCAGGGGTGGTGCCAATCCTGGGCTGGTGGTCCTGCGTTCTGTAAGAAAGCAGGCTAAGCCAGCCATGAGAAGTGAGCCAGTAAGCAGCACTCTCCATGGCCTCTGCATCAGTTCCCGTCTCCTGGATCTTACCTGATGGAGTTCCTGTCCTGACTTCTTCCTTCAGTGATGAACAGTGATGTGGAAGTATAAACCAAATTAACCCTTCCACCCCAGCAGCAATAGTAAAGCAATAGTAACCCTAATTAAGAATTCAAATTAGGGGCTGGAGAGATGGCTCAGCGGTTAAGAGCACTGACTGCTCTTCCAGAGGTCCTGAGTTCAAATCCCAGCAACCACATGGTGGCTCACAACCATCTGTAATGAGATTGGATGTCCTATTCTGGTGTGTCCAAAGACAGCGACAGTGTACTCATAAATAAAATAAATAAATAAATCTTAAAAAAAGAATTCAAATTATTCTCTGGTTTTCATGTGCACATGTGCATACACACACACACACAAACACAAGAACATGAGAGAGCCGGGCATTGGTGGTACACGCCTTTAATCCCAGCACTTGGGAGGCAGAGGCAGGCAGATTTCTGAGTTCGAGGCCAGCCTGGTCTACAGAGTGAGTTCCAGGACAGCCAGGGCTACACAGAGAAACCCTGTCTCGAAAAAAAAAAAAAAAGAACACGAGAGAGAGAGAGAGAGAGACAGAGAGAGAGACAGAGACAGACACACACACACACACACACAGGGGGAGGGTGGGGAGAGGGAGGGAGAGAGGGAGGCAGAAGACGAGAGAGAAGGAGGGAGGGAGGAAGGGAGGGAGGGAGGGAAGGAGGAGGGAATTCAACTTCATTTTAAGAGTGGAAAACACTGCAGGTCTTAATGCAGAAGCGGGACTTGTATTCTGAAAGTGTGTGCTGTAGACATGACTGGGGAAGAGTCAGCAGCAGAGGAGGTCAGGTGAGAGAGGATGGAGACTTGACCAACTGTAAGAGCAGTATAGGCAGGCCGACTCCATCAGCTCCTGGGAGAGCTGATAGGCTTGCTAATGGAATAGATGGGAAGGTCTGAGAGAAATGGAAATGAATGACTCCCAGGGTGGTGGTGGCGGTTTTGTTTTGTTTTGTTTTGAGCCCAGTTACAGCAATAGAGTGACCATTTACTGAAATACAGGAGAGTTAGGGTGTGGTGGAGATCAGCTTTGGAATATTATGTTTGAGTTACCTGTAAAGCCATCCAAGCTAGGTGTGGTGAACCACACCTCTTGTCTTACTTTTTTGTCTTGTGAAAAGACACCATGACCAAGGCAATTTATAAAAGAAAACTTTTAATTGGGGGCTTATACTTCAGAAGGTGATTCCATGACCATCGTGGTGGGAAGCACAGTGGTAGGCTGGCAGTGCTGGAGCAGCAGCTCACAGCTCACATACTGAGCCTCATATTAAGGCAGAGAACACCGACGAAGCCTGTCACGGGCTTTTGAAACCTCAAAGCTCACTCCCAGTGACGCACCTCCTCCAACAAGGCCATGCCTCCTAATCCTTCCTAAGCAGTTCTACCAACTGGGGATCGAGCATTCAAAACTGAGCCCATGTAGACTCAAAGGCTGTCCTCATCCTTAGCATCATCCTTGACATCCTAGCACTTGGGAGGTGGAAGCAGAGTTCCAGTCAAACAAGCTCAGACTGGGTATGGTATATGCCTTCATCTCAGTACTTGGGGGGGGGGCAAAGTCAGGTTGGTCTCTGAGTTTGAGGCCAACCTGATCTACATCGTGAGACCGTATTTCAAAACAAAAAAACAATCACAAAAACAAACAAACAAACAAACAAACAAACAAAAACAATCACAAGCCAGCCTCTCCCTGGACCTCTCTGTTATCAGTTCTCTGTGGTTTGGTCTTAAATCTCAATCTCAAGATCTGTCCCTCATCTTGTGACCCTTGCTGACCTGAAATGAGTGACAGGCTAGTTCTCTGTATATAGTGGGTTTCAGCACCAGATGGATACATTGAGAACATGACCACTTCAAGGGATGGTTGAGGAGGAAGGTTTTTATCGTAGATATGAGGGAGATTCTAGCCAGAGGCATCTAGAAGAATCCAGGGCAGGGAAAGAGTGTAGTAGATTAAACATGGACAGCAGACTGAACTGGGTGGGGGGCGAGAGGGAAAGAGAAGAGGAGAAGGCCAAGAGAGAGGGGGCCCAAAGGGACCAGGGCAGCTCATGGCCAAAATAGTAGGGTTGTATAGGAATGAGAAGCTGTGAAAAGGGAACCCATGAGTGGAGGAGTTTGGGGGAAGGGGGAGGGGTGTGACAAGAGCTGAGAGGAGCCGTAGGTACCTATGAGTCCGAGGCTGGCCAGCTTGTGCTTTAGTGTGCTAATAGGCAGTACAGTTAGCAATTTGTCCCTAGAACCTGACACTGCGTAACACAGGGTTTTCCTAGAAGAGCAAGTGGTAGTAGGTATCTAGGGCACTGTGTGTGCATCTGAGGATGTTGGGAAGAGGACATGGGAAGGGGGTGTGGTGGTGGCGAACGATTTTATCCCCAGCACTTGGGAGGTAAGGTCAGGTGGATCTCTGAGTTCAAGGCCAGCCTGGTCTACATGAGTTCCAGGCCTACCAGGGCTACACAGGGAAACCTTGTCTCAAAAGGAAAGGGGAAAAAGAAAATAAAAGATGAAAAAGGAGGAAGGAAACAAAAGAGGGATGTCTACCTAAGCTGTTTGGAGACAAAGGCCACTGCCTACCTGGCTGTTCTGGGAACTGATGCTGGCTCTTAGGGGAGCTGGCTACATGCAAATGGTGTGTGTGGGATACCACACAAATTCCTGAGTAATCCTTCATGGGCATGTGTGTGTGCAGGCTGTCGTCCTTCATAGAGTGTTTGTTTCTGAGTATTCCCTCATTGGCATGCATGTGTGTAAACAGGCGCCTCTGCCGTGGAAGATTTGACTCCATGATGGTATCGACAACTTTGCTGTTATACTCCTGCATAAAGTCGCTCAATAAATGATCTAGATGTTTATCCATTACGCAGTTTTAAGTTCCGGAAACATCAGTTGTTTCATTTGCATTTGGAAAGACTAAAACATTAGGTGTCAGCGCTTTACTGTAGATGAAAATACAAATGAAAATTGACCCTTCCCTCCTCCCTCAGCTCTTCACTGGAGACTCCTGAGCGAAACTGCCACGCAGGATGAGTGAGCTGGAACAGCTGAGGCAGGAGGCTGAACAGCTTCGGAATCAGATCCAGGTAGGACATGTGCCAGGTTGGAGCTTCGCTGCTTAGTTTAGTTTCAGCAATGTATGGACACCGTTCATTAGCTTATCAGTCACTGAATAGTAGATCATTCATGAGGCTAGAAGTGGTCAGCCTGAGCTAGCTGTGAGACAGGAGGATCTGGAGTCCCAAGGTTATTCTCTGGAAGATAGCATGCTGAAAAGCCAGTCTGAGGTAGGTAAGACGCTGCCTCAAGGAAACAGTATGGAAATGGTTAAGTTGTTTTTATCATGCTTCTGTAGAATGCTCCCAAAATCATTCCAAACAGCCACCCTTGCTGGCAAAGACACAAATGGGTGGTATGCCTAAGTAGCCGTCGAGATGACTCAGAGGGTAAAGGTGCTTGCTGCCAAGCCTGGTGACCTGGGTTCCATCCCTGGAAGGAGTAGAAGGAGAGAGCAGACTCCTGAAAACGACAGTTTTCAGGACACATATATGTGGTGGCGAGCATGCCCACCACCACAAAGTAAAACCTAAAAAAATTTGATAGAAAGTAGAATGTCTAACGTAGCTGAGAGACAAGTGTAATGATGACTCCTCCTCTGGGAAGGATCGGTGTATGAGAACAAGAAAGGCCACTGGGGGTATAGTACCAAAACATCTGCCCAGAAGAAATTATGATGAAACCCATTGCTGTTATATGCCAATGGAAAACATTTAAAAATTCTCTTCATATACAGAGAATTGTAGACGTTTGCTAGGATGCATGAGGCAGGTGTTACAACATGAGGAAATACCTCAACAGTATTAGCTTGTACAACAGTAACAATGAAAGACAGATGTGATATGTTTCAGTCAGTTGAAATGCACAGCCAAGAAGGAGCAGATGAACGGAGAACCACTTAGAATGCGCAGAATGCTGCCCGTGGTGGCACAGGCCTGTGGTTGCAATGTTCTGCTGAGGCTTAGGCAGGAGAATCTTGAGTTCAAGGCCAGCCTGGTCTAGGTACTCACTTGTAGACCTGCCTGGTCTACCTCAAAAACAAACAAAAAATGATACTTAGATTTCTGAATCATTTAGATGTGTCAGGTGCCTAAGGGAAGGGCCTGTGAATGAGTCACAAGAAGATAAGTGCCTTAAGAGGCAGCAGTGGGGTAGACACTGGCTTTCAGGAACTGGGGAATAAAACCAGAAATGAAAGTACAAGAATGAAAACCTCTCAGCAGCAGGTGGAGGAAGAACACGGGGCTGTGAGTAGCCCAGTAGCTACCTGCCTCTTCACAGAGAAAAGTAAAAGTGAAAACTATTTACAAGTGTCAGTTCAGGGTTTCACTGCTGGGAAGAGACACCCACCATGACCAGGGAAATGCTTATAAAGGCAAGCAGTTAACTGGGGATGGCTTATGGTGTTAGAGGTTCAGTCCATTGTTGTGGCAGGAAACATGGCAGCTTCCAGGCAGACATGGTGCTGGAGAAGCAGCCAGGAGTTCTACATCTTGATCCAAAAGAGGCCAGGGGACTGACCTCCACAGACAGCCAGGAGGCAGCCCTCTTCCACACAGCTTGAGCTTAAGCCTGCACCCACAGGGATGCATTTCTTCCAACAAGGCCACTCCCTGTCGGCCAAGCATTCAAACACATGAGGAGAGCCAAACCTATTCAAACCATCACACAAGGAAACCCCCTGATAACCTGGAATATAGTTGGGGGACTTTGCCAGTATTGATAATTGGCTATTTCAAGACCAGCAGTTCTCAAGCTGTGAGTCGCAATCCCTTTGGGGGTTGAATGACCCTTTCAGAGAGATTGCCTAAGACTACCAGAAAACACAGATAATTTACGATTCATAACTAGCAAAATTGCAGTTATGAAGTAGCAATGAAAATAGTTTTATGGCTGGTGGTCCCTTCAACATGAGGAACTGTATTAAAGGCCCACATCAGTAGGAAGGTTGAGAGCCACTGCTCAAGACATTGTGAAAGCAAAGAATAGTCTGTAAAGAGATGCTGTGGGAACAAAGGAGATGAAAAAAACCAGGGGGGATGAAGAGCAGCCAACAGAAGTGTTTCCCCAGGGACTGAAATCGTGCTGCCTTTAACAGAGAAGGTTATGTTCCTGTACCCTGGGGTGTGGTTTAGTAGCTGAGCCAGTATTTAGTATGTGCAAAGCTCTGAGCTCCATCCCAACACCAATAATAATAATAATAATAATAATAATAATAATAATAATAATATATCTGCCCTCTGGACCTACACACCTAAAGTGTTTTTAATGGTAACAGTCACAGATGCTTAAACACAGTTGCAGTTTTAGCTCTCTGAAGCTGGAGACATGGCTCAGAAGTTAGGAACACTTGTTGCTCTTCCAGAAGACCTGGGCTCAGTTCCTGGCACTCATACAGATGATAGCTCACAACCATCTTTAACTCCAGGGTATCAATGCCTTCTTTTCCTCTGAGGGCACCAGACATGCACACAGTATACAGTCACATTTAGACAGGACAACTTAAATACATAAAACAAGTAAAATTTGAAACAAATTTGAGAAGTAAAATTCTTGGAAGTAAACCTGGTAGATCTCCACGACCTTAGATTGGTAAATAGTTGTCATGACCCACACTGCCTGGGGATTGATGTAACTGGGTGACAAAAATGTAAAAATGACAGGCATACTCACAAAAAAGGCTGGGACCGGGATGGGCCGTGTGCTCCTCTGAAGGCACACCAGCAGCAGCCTGGAAACTGAGCTGCTTATTTATCCAGCACCAAGGTGGGTGGCTCAGCTCAGTAGGAGGCCTCTGTAGGGGAGCCGTCTCCCTGCAGACATCCAGGAGGAGGAAACTGTGGTTGATAGTTTTCCACACGCTGGTTTTAGGCAAAGGTCAACCATTTGTCAACACCCACATTCAGACCAAGAGAAAGGTTGTATCAGTCCTCTAAATCTGAGCCAGGGAAGGCCTTGCCGTTTCTCATGGCTCTGAGGCATGGTGCCTTTGACATGGTCATGTTCATGTCAATAATAAACATTCATTCAGGACTTTATCCACTCCCCACAGTTAAATATGACATCAGAAGTACAACAACAAAAGAAAAAAAAACAGAGTTGTATCTCATCAAATAAAAGTAGGTAAAGCTTTTGCAGAGGATCCAAGTTCAGTTCCCAGCACTCACATCAGGAGACTCACAACTCAGCCATAACTCCAGCTCCTGAGATTTAACACTCTTTCCTGGCCTCTGCAGGCAACACACACACACATACACACACAAATAAAAATAAAATGTATTTTAAAAACTCTAACAAGAAAAGGAAGACTGCTATGATGTAATCAGAGAAAATATTTGAAATCTGTACATCTTGTAATGGTCAGGTATCCAGAATATGTAAAGAACTACTATATCTGGACAACAAAAAGACAACCTGCTCTAAAAGTTTGCAAAAGCTTGACTAGAGATCATTTCAAAGACATAGAAATACACAGATACACACACACACACACACGGATATACACTCAGACACAAACACAGATGTACACTAACTGTGTACATGCATAGATTTACACACGCTGGAAGTGCGTGGAAAGAGTCTCAGTATAAATCCAAACCACAGTGAGATACTCCACAGGTAAGATGGCTATAACTAAACACACAGAACATCATAAGAGTTGGAAGCGGCCCCAAGATGCTAAGACACTGAAGCCCTGGCCATTCCTAGTTGGAATATAAAAATATACAGAGTGCAGCCACTCTGAACAGCAGCAGGTAGAATTCCCAAAGAATTAGAAAGCATGGAAACACAGCATCATGCTTTGTGATAACTGAAAAGTGGAAGCCATCTGTGTCCAAAAATCTCAGCTAACAGATAAAAATCTGAAAAGACATCCAGTAGAACCATCAGCCCTAAAATGGAGACACTACTTCCTACAGTAACGTTGCTGAACACAGAACATGCAAAGTGGAGGAAGCCGTGTATTATACGAATTCATTTCCACAAGGAGTCTGATTGGCAAGACCACATGGAAGGGATGGAGAGGAGGGAAGGAGAAGCTGAGGCCTGCAGAGAAAGGGAATCGGGTAGCTGGAGTTTCTTCAGGGACAGACAGATGACATGGAAGACATGTCCTAGACATATCATTCTGAAAGCACAGGAAAATCAATAAATTGTGTACCTTAAAATGACCCTCTTTATATAAGTCAGGGAAAGTTTACTTAAAGATGACGTGGTACAGTAAGGGTTAATTTTCAGTTAGTAGAAGCCTGTCCTGTCCTGTCCTGTCCTGAGCGTCCCCATCCTAACATGTTGCCACCCTTCTTTGCTCTAGGATGCTCGGAAGGCCTGCAACGATGCCACGCTGGTTCAGGTAACGTGTCCCCCAGGTCATGTCAGTAGTTCACAGTATCGGTGACATCCAGAGTCTTGTTACGGAAGGTGCTGTCCACAAACACACTGCTGAAATAGAAGTCTGCCGGGCAGTCAGCACTGTGGAGACATGCAGAAGCATCTTGTAGATGCTTTTCTTTAAGCACTTTCTGAATCTTTTTGGTATACACTGATTAAGCTTTTTTTTCTTTTAATGGGAAATTTTAGGAAGGTTTTGTTGGGTAAATACTGTTCACTTTATTGATGATATGTGTTTTGCACTAGACATATATAAAACTGGCTTTCTTTTTTATGTTTTAGAAAATCAGAATTTTATTTATGACTCCAAAAGACACCCATCCACTGGCCCCATTGAACTCAGGGTCAAACTTTCTGACCTTTCATCAGGACGCCCTGCACCAGCCCCACACCGAGCAGTGTCGGGAGCCACGGGTCTGGTGTCACTTGATGAGATCCCTGTTCTGTGGTTTTCATGACTCATTGCCCTGAGCTCACCTTGCCATTCTAAGTGGTAGCAGGGACATGGGCAAGCTCCAGGCGGATTCAGTGCTTCCCCATTCTGGCCAGACCCGTGAGTCACAGCAGACCATCTCTGGCTACCTCAAGGCCAGACTTCCTTCCCCACAAGCTGAACCTACCTTTCTTACTTCCATTTTTAAACAATTTTAAAATTTCTTTTAAATTCTGTATGTGTGAGTATTTTGCCTACAGATACATCTATGCAGCATGTGCATGTCGGGTGCCCTCTGAGGCCAGAGTAAAGTGTCAGATCTCCTGGAACTGGATGGCTATGAGCTAGCTGCCATGTGGGTGCTGGGAATTGAACCTGGGTCCTCTGGGAGAGCAGCCAGTACTCTTAACCAATGAGCCATCTCTCCAGTTCCATGGCTTTCTTATAGAAAATTACAAATGTTTTCTTCTGTAGTCATTTATTTCTGGGTTCCCTTTGTGACTGTCATATTTTTTTCCTATCGCAACATCTTAAGTGCCCATATTTGTGGCCTCATAGACAGCTGACTAAATGAGCAGGGTATCAAATCAGGATAATGAGAGTTTCCAGTGTTTGTCATTGCTTCGTGTTGAGAGATCCAAGCCACCTCTCTTCTAGTTCTGTATAAACTATTTGATAGGGAGCTGGCAAGATGACTTCAGGCCGGGCATTGCCACTCAAGCCTGATGACCTCAGTCCAGTCCCCAGAATTCAAGTAAGGTGGAAGGAGAGAAGCAGCTCCACACTGACCTCAACTTGTCAGTCAGTCTGTCTGTGTGTCTCTCTCTGTGTGTGTCTCTATCTAACACACACACACACACACGTGTAAAACATTTAAAGCACTCGCAGGCTTGCAAGTTGGCAGACATTACAGACAGCTCTCTTGGTGCAGTTCAGCACCTGCCCGGTCACCTTCCTTCCTACCTGTCCTCTCTTCCTGCAGCTGGAGCTTTGTCAGTTTGGAAGTCTGTGTCTTGCCTTTAGCTCCTCATCTGACAAAGCATTGTCATCCACACAAGGATGACCTGTGTTAATCAGTGTTCATGAACTGAACAAACTACAGCAGTTCTGTTACACTCTCTGTACTAAGTCACCTTCAGGTGACTTCTTACCAACATGTCTGAGGCAAAGAATAATGTCATTGTTACTTTCCAAAGATTACGTCTAATATGGACTCCGTGGGCCGAATACAAATGCGAACGAGGCGCACACTTCGAGGTCACCTTGCTAAGATCTACGCCATGCACTGGGGATACGATTCCAGGTCAGTGGCTGCCATTGCTAAACTCCTACGGGGGGTTTTTTTTTTTTTTTTTTTTTTTTTTTTTTTCATTAAGAACTGTTATTTGGCCGGGTGGTGGTGGCGCATGCCTTTAATCCCAGCACTTGGGAGGCAGAGGCAGGCGGATTTCTGAGTTTGAGAGTTCGAGGCTAGCCTGGTCTACAGAGTGAGTTCCAGAACAGCCAGTGCTACACAGAGAAACCCTGTCTCAAAAAAACAAAAAAACAAAAACAAAAAAGAAACACTGTTATTTCTATTTCCTTTGTTCATAAAAGTCTTATTTGTGCAGTTTTGTAGAAAATGCATCATCCATGAACTGTTCATTGCACTAAGAATAGCCATTGACACTTCACAAGTTTAGAGTTGTTTGTTGAGATGTCTGACCACACCCAGAGGCTTCTGCTTGCTAAGCAGACCCTAGTCATTTACTTCTCGGTTCCCTCAGCCTTGAAGTTTCCACAGACTTTTAGGGCGTGCAAGATGGCTTTTTGGATAAAGGTGTTTGCCAGGCAAGCTGTCCCCCGATCTCCACGTGTGTGCCCACAAATAGACATTACAATAATAATACTGCTAGTAAATACTTCTAAAGTTTCTAACATGAAAATCAGTTTGTCTCTCAGAAAGATCTTTGTCTAGTGACCTATGGAAACTATTTTGAAGTTTTCTTTCTTTGTGCTAGAATTGATGCCTTCCCAGTGAGAAATCACTCAGCACACTTAGAAATTAATAAAAGGAGGAACTCTTTAAGATAGCTCATATCTTTCTGTCGAATGCTCAGAGTGGGGCCGGCCTTGGATAGAAGATTTCACTAACTTAGACACACCTTAGGCTGTGCGTTCTACATATGCTGCGTCCTTAGATCGTTTCAGGTCTGGGCCCAGGTTATAGTGCCCATTCGGCAGAAACTATGGTTTTCTCAAGAGAACAGGGGGGCTTTGTGGCATGCCAGGACTTTACTTTGATTGTGACCCTGTGCTGCCCCTTGCTGCCTGTTGGAGGAATGGTCTTTGATATGGGGCTGGCCTAATGGCTGATTATAAATCAGGGTTGTCTCCTTTCTTAAGAGAATAGAGCCTTGTGGCTGGTCAATCCTGGAGAATAACCTTTACATTGCAGCATCTTAAATTTCACTTATGTCTAACCGGTCAACATACCAGCTACCCCTGGGGTATTTTTAGAGGAGCATTACTTTGACTAAATTCTGCTTTGTGTGAATTGATGTCTTCTAAGCAGATTAGTAAATCTTTTTTTCCCCTTCCCTTTCTCCCTCTTGCTCTGGCCCTGCTTGCTCTGGCCCTGCTTGCTCCGGCCCCATTTGCTCCGGCCCAAAGGTTTTTTTATTTATTTATTATATGTAAGTACACCATAGCTGTCTTCAGACACTCATATGAAGGCATCAAATTTCATTATGGATGGTTTTGAGCCACCATGTCGTTGCTGGAATTTGAACTCATGACCTCCGGAAGAGCAGTCAGTACGCTTAACTGCTGAGCCATCTCACCAGCCCTAGTAAATCTTTTATAGCAGTAATTCTTTTGTCTCCTACACCGTCTTTACAGAGGAGTGTTATAATGTGCTTTTTAATATGTCAAAACTATTTTGTTCTGGGTGGAGTTGTTTCTTTTGAGATAGATTATTGCTAAGTAGCTCCAGCTAGCTTCAATATCAAAATCCTCCTGACTCCGACTCCTGAGTGCGAGAATTACAGGTATGTGTAACTGATGGGATCCCTGCTCCATGGTATGGTTAACACAAAATGCACCTGGAGGAATCCAAAGCAGGGAGAGAGAGAAGCAGACTGAACATGGCCAGCAGACTGGGCCTGGCCATGAGAACCGGAGCAAAGCAGAGAGATGGAGGGAGGGACGGGGCGAGGAGGGGAGGAGGCGGGGAGGAGAGAGGCAGGAAGCAGGGAGCATAGGGTTATAAGGAGAATGAGTATGTGGGAGCAGGGAGTTTAGGGTAGGGGAGGAGGTTAGAGGGGCTAGCACGGACTCTGAGATGTGTAAAAGGTCCGTGTGATCCTGAGGGAGCCTGGAGGCCAGCCCATGCTTTGGTTCGGTGATAGGCACCACAGATGGCCATCTGTCCCTTCTGCCTTTTGGAGTTTGGGAAAATGGCGTTTCCTTTGGACCTGACAAGGTATCCTCACCATTACTGGCCAAAATATAGTCTTACTGTTTATTAATATTAAAATACCAGTTAATAAGCAAATACTTACATATGTCTGTGTCCAGATTGTGGATACTATTCTAATTTATCAACTAACTCCACAAAGGATTGAGTTATACAAAAGGAGTGTTTTGATTGAATACTTTTTTTTTTTTTGAGACAGGGTTTTTCTGTGTAGCCCTGGCTGTCCTGGAATTCACTCTGTAGACCAGGCTAGCCTCGAACTCTCGAACTCAGAAATCACCTGCCTTTACCTCCCAAGTGCTGGGATTAAAGGAGTGCTCCACCACCGCCTGGCAAATACTTTTTTTTTTTTTTTTTTTTTTTTTGGGGCTGGGTTTGTGGTGGCGGCCCGGGCTGGGGGGGGTCTTGAGACGTGGCTCAGGCTGCTCTGGACCTCTTAGTGATCTGCCCACCTCTGCCTTCCAAGTGCTGGGATTAAAGATGCACGCCACCAGACACGGCAGGCAGTTCAATGCATCTTTTAGTTCCACAGCCTAACACATGCATGCTATTATCTATGCTTTCGAGGGTGTGTTAGTCATTTTATTGCTATTTCTGAGATTAATATAACCTTGGTCTAAGAATGGGGAGGGTGTTGCATTTATTAGCATAGAGTATGTGCCACTTAGAAGGGATAGATAAAATTATATTATTGATAACTAATGTAAAGCTAAAGAAGGATTGTTTAATTTAAGATAAGAATATTTTGTCCTGGGCCATCGAGGTGACTCAGGGAAAGGTTCTTGCCACCTGATGGCCTGAATTTCCTTTCCAGAACACACATGGAAGAAGGAGAGACCTGTCTCCTCCAATCTGGCCTCTTATCTCCACATATATAAATATATATGACTTAAATTTTTTTAAATGCCTTATTGATACCACAGACTTTTAACCCCAAATGTAATTACTGAAGCAATGTTAATGATTATTTTCTTAAAATTTTTCTCAAGAACTGAATGTCACCCAGGAATCTGCCCCTTATTCCTATGCATTCTGCTGAGTAATTGGTGGGTCTCGACTTCCGCCTGCACACATGACTGCAGGCGGTTTCCAAGTTTCCTTCTCTGTTCCCCGCAGCCCACCTATGAACCTCCCCCTCTGTAAACACGGTTAGCTCAAGACCTTTGCCCTCAGGTTTTCGTAATTGTACCTCTTTTGTATCTTTTACATTTTATATACAATGAAAAAGCAAATTCCAGAACAGAACAAAAATCCAGTGAGCACGTAGTCCAGAACTGATGAAGTAGTAAACCCAGCCTCTGCGTTGTCTGTGTAAAGTGTTTGACATAGACCATAATGTTTCACAAGTTGGGAGAACAGTTTTAGTAAACAAATATTATTAGAAAAAGTGTTTTTTCTCCTGAAGTGTCCTTCAGAGATAAAATGCATAACTAATTAACTCTTTTTTTCCCCCTCAATGTCAAATTGTTCTTATGTTTCTCCTCTAGGTTACTAGTCAGTGCTTCGCAAGATGGAAAATTAATTATTTGGGATAGCTATACGACAAATAAGGTAGAATCTTTTTATCTTTCTCTTAAATAATCTTGTATTTGCTTACTGCCTAGCAGTTCTTTCTTACTCGGGGGCCCATTTTCTGGGATTTATTCTCGATCCAGACCAGCTCTTATGACATGTTTGCTTTTAATCCTGAATTCTTTTGCTGCAAAAACAATTTAAGTATATGTTTGTCTTTCTTCCCTCCCTCCCCTTTTCTCCCTCCACACAAACACCTACCCCCCCTTTTCTCAGGCTCTGATTTAGCCCAGGTTAGTCTTGAACTCAATGATCTAGCTAAGGCTAGCCCTCAGCTCTTGATTATCCTGCCTCTTTCTCCACACTGCTGAGTTTACAGACACACAACACCACACCTGGCTTTTGAAGACTGCCACTTTCATATAGATAAGAACTTTTAAAATTCCCAATTCCTGGACTGAAACAACAGTGATGTTTCTGTTTCTTATTATGGTAGATGGCTACTAGAAAGTCTTTCCTTGGTTTACTCCAGAGTCTATTTTATTTTTCTGGATGACTTAAAAAAAATAGACACATTGAATTTGTTGATATCTAGTAGTGAAAACCTTGATTTTCTTAGTGTACCCAGAGTAAAGAATCCTTGAATCCTTGATTCAAGTTGTTGAGTAACATTGAAAAGAAAATGTGGGGGACATATTTTTCAAGTCAGACGCATACGTTAGCAGTAATGCTGAGCAATCAAAAACAGCGTCTGGTGACATGAACAAGATTAAGGACCCTGCCTGTGCATGAGCGCCACACTCAGCCTGAGTGAGGCTTGAAAGTAACTAAGTTTGTGATCTAACAGTTTCTGTATCCTAATGGGCTTTAAGTTAGTCTCATTCAAATCCATTTTCCTAAAACAAACAAACAAACCAAATATACTTTTATGCTATCACCTTAGGTCAAGAGGAAGCATGGTCATATCACAGGGTGCGTGGACACTGGCTGGGGGCATCCTTGATAAACACCTGCTGTTCTAGTTTGCCTACACCATTGCATTCCCTCTGTGAGATCCTGGAATAAGTGCCAGTACTACAAGGGCACGCGTACAGGCTCCCTTTCATTTTTATGGTTCCGTGTTTAGGTGTAGGCAACTCCTCCTTTAAACATCAGTGTGCTAAAATATGGGTTCGGTTTTTACATCTAATTCAGGAGGCAGAGTCAGGCGGACCTTTGAGTTCAGCATGGTCTACGTAAACGAATTCCAGGCCAGTGGGGCTATATATTAAGATCGTGTCTCAAAAAAATAAATCCATATAGCTCTGTTTTTATTTGAAACAACTGAGAGTGAGGTGCTGCTTGAGAGATGGTTTCAAATGGTTGAAAGCTCTCGGTGCTCTTACAGAGGACCCGTTTGGTTCCCAGACCTGCAGAAAGGGGTCACAACTCCCTGTAACTCCAGTCCCAAGAGATCCAATTCCTGTGGCTCGGAGGGCACCTGCACTTAAGTGCACATTACCACAGACACACACACACACACACACACACACACACACACACACACGAGCGTGCACCAGCACACACAAACACAGACACACACAATTAAAAATAAAATTGTTCCTAAAATGAGCACTTCAATTCCATGTGACCTGCCAGCGTAGAACGGGACATCCCGTGTGCCTATGGTGTTTCCAGGCCTCGTGGCTTCCTTTCCCCAGTGTGTTTATCCCTAGATGTGTGTGATTTCTAGCAGAGCTTGCCTCATGCGAAGCAAGCTTAGGAATGCGTTGTGTATTGACCGCCCTTGAAACCTTTCCCATACATAACAGTCCCGCGTCTGTGTGCGCTCTTTGTGTGGTAGATGCACGCCATCCCGCTGAGGTCCTCCTGGGTGATGACCTGTGCCTATGCCCCATCTGGGAACTACGTTGCCTGTGGAGGCTTGGACAACATCTGCTCCATATACAACCTGAAGACCCGAGAGGGGAATGTGCGGGTGAGCCGAGAACTGCCAGGGCACACAGGTGAGCCACTTGACGTCCTCCTCAGCCTTCTCCCTTCCTGACCGAGGCTACCTGGCAGACTGTGTCAGGGTGGCTGGAGGAAGATGGGAGCAGAAAGCACAATGATGACTCTCAGAGTCACATGATGACGGTCATTCCTTGCTGTAGTTTGGGGCTGGGGATTCCATCTGGGGTCTTGAGCTCACTGAGCGTGCGTTCTCCTGTGGAGGGGTCCTCCTACCCCTGTGATTTCTTTCTTTCAGTTATAGCTATACTGTTTTGTAAACATGATAAATTTGCTACCCCAAAGACCCAAACATTCACAAAAAATGCAAAGAAAGCAAGTGCGGCCTCCATCGCTTTCTGCTGCCCTGGAGCGAGGTTCAAGGATCACACAGTCTGTGCTGGGGTTCACTCATGTCACCAGAAGCACTGTCCCAGGCCATGTTATATTTAGGAAGTTTCTGTAACTCATATTCATCCTGTCTGTGGTTGCAGAGGCTGAGAATAGTGTTTCCCCGCCAATGTCAAGCTCTGAGATGCTGATGAACTTGATTCATGCAAATGAAGCATTTTCCAGAAAGCCTTCACAATATTTTTAGGGTCTTCTCTAGTGCTGCCGCGGGTTAGAGGTACTGGCTAAGGAGTGCCTTCCCTCAGGTGCATCCAACCTGCAGCCCACACGCTGTCATAAGCATACTGAAAATAAAACGTCATTTTGTCATAATTTTAAAAAATTGACATGTATGGTTCTTAAGCATGAATTTTGAAGATGACAGGGTTGTGTCACGGTGTCACACTTAAACACACCAGGCTACTATTAGGCTGCCAAACTTAGGTATGGTCACTTTGAGTGCCCAGTGTCTGATACAGTGAATACCTTGGAAGAGTGGAAGAAAATTTAGTTGCAAGCAGCAAGGCACTGAGCTCACTAAAGCAGAGTTGTGTGTCCCACTTCTCTATCACTGGGTCAGAGTGACCTGACACTTCCTGCTCTCTGCTGCAGGCTACCTGTCCTGCTGCCGGTTCTTAGACGACGGACAGATCATTACAAGCTCAGGAGACACGACTTGGTGAGTTTATTCAAAAGAAGCCCGAGTTCATGGGGACAGACGTGGGAGAGGTGCACACTGATGTCTGTGCTTGTGTTAATCACAGTGCTTTGTGGGACATCGAGACGGGACAGCAGACTACAACCTTCACAGGACACTCGGGTGACGTGATGAGCCTCTCACTGAGTCCTGACTTGAAGACCTTTGTTTCTGGTGCTTGTGATGCATCTTCAAAGCTGTGGGATATCCGAGACGGGATGTGTAGACAGTCTTTTACAGGACACATTTCAGACATCAACGCTGTTAGTGTAAGTGAATGCTTGTTTGTTTGTTTGTTTGTGGGACAGGGTTTTATGTAGCTCAGGATAACCTTGAACTCCTGATCCTCCTGGTCTGGCTGCTTCCACCTCTCAAAATTTTACTCTGTCTAAAGTGCTGAATATGACACCATTGTAACAAATTGCTTGCCTGGATTCTTACAACCAGTGTGTGCCCTTAGAACACCAAAGCTCCAAATAATAGGACTTGATTTTTAAATCTGAGTGCTTATTTTTGGACAAGATATAAACTTTATTTGCACAGTGAGTATGGACAGGGGGTCATTAGTGAGCAGGCAGCCTCAGAGGTGTTCACTGTGTCTAGATGAGAAGTTATCCTGTATTGAGGGTAACCACACAGGGTACAGTCCGAAAGGGTGCTGCTCTCTGTGGAGTCTGGTACTTGGAGACAGCCAAAGCAGGGAGGTGTCAGCGAACCTATGTACCAGCTTTGAAACTGATCAAGCCTCACACTGCTAGCCTTAGGAAGGCTAAAGCTGCTTCATCAGAGAATGCTGTGGAGACTAAGTGAATTGTGTATTCAGAGTTATGTGTGTGTGTGTGTGTGTGTGTGTGTGTGTGTGTGTGTGTGTTTTGCAGTGTCTCATTAGCCCTGGCTGGCCTGGGACCTAACATTGGAGTGCATCTGAACAGATGTGTGCAGGTGCCCTTGAAGGCTACAAGAGGGTATCAGACTCCCTGGAGCTGGAGTTAGAGTTAGGCTGTAAACTGCCTGATGTGGGTGCTGGATACTGCTGAACCCTAGTCCTCTGTAACAGCAGCAAATGCTCTAAGTTTTAAAAACCAGGAACAAATGTTAAATTTTATCAGCTGATTTCTCATTATCTATTGAAATGTGTAGTTTCTTTTCTCTCACTCAGCTTCTCACCCCACCTGCCACCCGGGTCTGTGTCTGTCTGTGTGCTACCGAGAATTGAACCCAGGCCCTCATGAGTGCTAGGCAGATGCTTATGGTTGTTCGTTTTCATTTTTCTTTACTAAAGGTGAATTTGTTTCTTACTACTTATATTGTTTTAGATTTTGCACTTGAGTGCTATCTGGTGCATATGCACATGCTATGTACTTGCGTAGTATGTGCATGCATGCAGAGGCCAGAATGAGATCAGGTGCCCTGGTCTATTACTGTCTACCTAATTACTTTAAGACAGGTCTCACTGGACTGGAAGCTTGCCTTCGTGGATGAGCTTGTTCATCAGCAACTTCTCAGGATAGTCTGCCTGTCTCTGCCCATCATGCTGGAGTTATAAGCACACTCAGCCATGCCCAACTTGTCATACAGGAGACTGGGGGTTCAAACTCAATGTCCTCAAATCTTCATGTCCATATGTGTGCAAAGCAAGCACTTGGTCCCATCCCTACAATAGTGAATTTATAGAGACATTGTTAAAGTAGCTTTTATTCATCTGATGTAATTGTCTGGGATGCTTACTACTTCAGTCTGCTAACCTAGGCCTAGTCCTGGAAGCTTCTAACCTCCATACAATCTTACCTAGGCCTAGAATGTTTTCAGCCTCTGTGACTTACTACTGAATAAACTCATCCTTTTTAGTTCTTTCTGATCTCTGGTTCAACTTAGCAATTCTGGCTCAAACTCCCCTCGATACTGACTGATTCAAACTGCCTTCTCTCATCTTCTGACTGAATTCCTCTGCTTGGTCTCATACTAACTTTGACAATATGTCCTAATCTTCTGACTTCTCATTCTCTGACTGGTTTTGTCTTCACCTGTGTCTAGCTTGTTCTTTCTCTGCACAACTGTGCCAGTAAAACTGCATCACCACCCCCAATTCTGCATTGCTCTCTTAAGTAGCCTCTCTTTTCTGTCTCTTCTTGTGAGAGCTGGGTGTATCCTATTCTGTCACATCTTTCTCTGATTTGTCATTTTGTCTGACTCTTACTTTCAAACATGGGTGTTTCCTTCTACAAACTAATTTTACCTTCATTGTTTAGGACTAAAGGTGTGTGCTAAGGGTGTGTGTCTGTATTTCAACTGGAATAGCCATGTTGCTGGATTTAAATCCCTCTACAAAACAAACCATTCTCATATTTAGATTTCTTTGTGGTGACGAGACAGTAAGTACTATCTTTGTTAAGCTATTAGGACACACTGAGGTCCCTCTTTGAAATGAAATAATTAATGAAAAATATTGTAGAAGAAGGCTAGACCATGGTGCCCAAGCCTTAGTCCCAGCACTTTGGAGACAGAGGCAGGAAAATTTCTGCAAAGAGACTGCCTGGGCTACCTAGTGAAACTCAGCCTTCAAAAAGTGAAGAGTGGAGCCAGGCAGTGATAATGCACACTTTTAATCCCAGTCCTCCGAAGGCAGAGGCAGGTGCATCTCTGAGTTTGAGGACAGCCTGGGCTACACAGAAGAATCCTATCTCAAAAACAAAACAAAACAAGGGCCCGGAGAGGTCTGATATCTATTAGGAAGTGGCCAGCACCACCCACAGAGGGAAGTAGGGAGTAAGGGTGATAAGCACACCAGACACACGGTAGATGAAAGGAAGAATTTATGGTTAGTGATCCTGGTACTAGGATATTTCCTGTTTGGAGTGGAGAAGCCAAGTTCACTGAGAGTCACTTCAGCCATTTCCAAGAACCTGTTAATCTAGTGGAACTGCTGCCCTGTAGGCCCCTGCCTGAGGGACTGTTGGTAAACAGTGGGACACTGTCTCCCTGTGCTTACTATCAGTATGGAAATAGCACTGCCCGCACTATGTGATGGCTTCTCAATCTTCCAACTGTGTTCTCAGATCTGAAACTGAAAAAAGATGTGTTATGAAGCTGGAAAATATTGCTACTCCACATTTGTGTTCAGTCATTGGAAACCCATATGGTTGAACCAGCTATATCCATCAAACAACTTACTGATTTTAGAACCTAAGGGTAGGTGATGACAATATTAAACTATTATTCATTATTAAAATGTTAGTAATATTTTAAAACCTAGCAGTGCAGGTCAGTGGTACAGCACTTGCTTAGCATGTATGAAGAACAGAAGAACACAAGGCTGTTGCCAGGAACTTAGAGAATGACATAGCAGAAGATCAATAGAAAAATTAACAGCTGGACAGCTGCTTAAGTATTAAGAAAATTAATCTAAAGCCCCACTTTGAAGGCTGTTTATCAACTAGACTCCAGATAGACGAGGTTAATATCTTAGGGTTTTACTGCTGTGAACAGACATCATGACCAAGGCAACTCTTACAAGGACAACACTTAATTGGGGCTGGCTCACAGGTTCAGAGGTTCAGTCCATTATCATCAAGGCAGGAACATGGCAACATCCAGGCAGGCATGGTGCAGGAGGAGCTGAGAGTTCTACATCTTCATCTGAAGGCTGCTAGTGGAAGACTTACTTTCAGGCAGCTAGGATGAGCCCACACCTGTAGTGACACACCTACTCCAACAAAGTCACACCTACTTTAACAGGGCCATGCCTTCTAATAGCGCCACTCCCTGGGACTAGCATAGGCAAACCATCATAGTCAATACAGGAAATTAACTGAACTAAAATAATTACAGGCTGTTCATTCAAAGTGATGAGCTGAGGAGATAGTGCAGTTGGTATTCATGGTGCAGATATTCCACAGAACTCAAAGTAAAAAAAAAGCTGGCACGGTGGCACTGACTTTTGTAAATCCTAGCACTGGGGGAGGAGAGGCAGGAGGACTGGGGCTCGCTCTGCAGATCCAGGTTCAGTGAGAGACCCCGTCTAAACAGCAACAGCAAACACAAAATAAGAGAGTGAAGAAAACACCTGATTTTGGCCTCCGGCTTCACCATGTGCACTCACATACACACACAGGTAAAGTAGTAAGGAAAGAAAGCTGGGTGTGGTGCCACAGGCCTGGAATCTCAACACTTGGGACGGAGAGGCAGGAGGATCCCAAGTTCAAGATTATCCTCTGCTACTCAGTGAGTTAAAAGGTCATCGTGGAATATATGAGCTCCTGCCTCAAAATCACACAAACAAATTAATGAGGGCCGTCCAGAAGCAAGAGCTAAGCTCATCTGACTGTATAAAACCTTAAAACTGCTGCATGGTTTTCTGAAGTAAACAGGATTAATGATAGGTAGTCAAGTCGCATTTGTGGCAAATAAGACCAATTTACAGCCATTCTGTTACTGACACCAGTGGTTCAACTGCAGAAAGCATGACTGTCCTGAGAAAGCTGTTCCCAGAAGGTACAAATGTGCTTTTTCTCTGTGGAAAGGCATGTTGACTAGGGAGGGCTGCACCAGGAATAGATGTGCCAGTCACGCCTGGGTCTCTACTGCTCGATTCATATCCGGTAACTGTGGGAGTTGCATATTTTCTCTTCATTTTTTTTGTGTGTGATGTGTGTGTACATATCTGTGTATGTGTGTAGGCCAAAGGCTGATGTTGGGTGTTGTTGGTCACTCTTCATCTTACTCAATGAGGCAGTGTCTCTCAGTTGAGCTCAGAGTTAAGCTATACTAGCAAAGCTAGCTAGCTTTCTCCAGGAATCCCATCTCTGCCACCCAAATGTTAAAGTACAGGCAGGCCTCCACACAGGTCACCATTTAAGTGGGTGCTGAGCTCCAGACTCTGGTCTTCATAAGCACACAATGAGAGCTTTATCTGCTGAGTCATCTCCTCAGCCCCAGAATATTTACACAAACATCCTAAAAATATTAATACTTGACTTATGAGCATCATGGGGATTTTTGGCCTGCTCTGTTTCTGACTTGTATGTAGGAACCTCTTAGGCATCTGGGTGACCCCTCATCCTGGGAGGCCACTGCACTGATGCTAATCTTAGTTTAGACATGCAACTCATACTTGCTGTCACAGTGCAGTGCAGCCCACTGTGCCCGACTCCTAAATGACTGGCACATAGAAACATTGGCCTGAATTGTTTTGATAAGACAGGTGGCAGATCACAGCAGGGTTATTAACACTGTGTGTAGAGCAATGGACCGTGTACTCTGCATATGCTATTCAGTCCTAACTCTTTTTTTTTTTTTTTTTTTTGGTTTTTCGAGACAGGGTTTCTCTGCATAGCCCTGGCTGTCCTGGAACTCACTCTGTAGACCAGGCTGGCCTCAAACTCAGAAATCCGCCTTTCTCTGCCTCCCAAGTGCTGGGATTAAAGGTGTGTGCCACCACCACCTGGCCAGTCCTAACTCTTAAACTAAGACTAAAGGCTAAAGCCCAGAATACACACGCACACGAACACGCACACACATATACATACATATATACACATACATATATACAGATTACATATATACATATATATACATACATATATACATATGTACACACATATACACATATACATATATATGTATATGTGTGTATATATATATATAAATCATGTGTATAGACACACACATATATATGTCTTAGGCAAGGTGCGATGATTCATAGCTGTAATCCCAGCACTTAGGAGGCCAAAGCAGGAGAATTTTGAGTTCTGGGGCAGCTTGGGTTACATGGTGAGAGCCTGTCTCACATAAGAAGAAACAAACTCAGCAGTCACTGACGTGGAAAGAAGCAAGGTTCAACTTTAAGCATGCTGTACCTCACCTCCCACCCCAAGTTCTCTGCCTCACTGGTCTCTGTATGAGTCTGTTCTGGTGTAGGGCGGCCTCACCACACCCCCAGTGCCAGGTGCCCCGCCTCCATGGCTTTTGTGTCCTCCTTTCTAGTTCTTCCCGAGTGGATATGCCTTTGCCACTGGTTCTGATGATGCCACCTGCCGACTCTTTGACCTCCGTGCAGACCAGGAGCTCCTGCTCTACTCTCATGACAATATTATCTGTGGCATCACTTCTGTGGCCTTCTCAAAGAGCGGGCGCCTCCTGCTAGCTGGCTACGATGACTTCAACTGCAGTGTGTGGGACGCTCTGAAAGGAGGCCGGGCAGGTGAGTGATGCGGCCAAGGTAGGCTCTCTGGGCATCTAGCTGCTTTCAGAATGGCAGCTGGGTGCCTCCTTTGTATTCATTACCTTTGATGGTGGTTGGATCACACACCCTACTGAAGAATGACATCAGGGCCTGTAATGATGAATAATCCCTCTGGCTGAATGCAGACATGCCCTTAGTACACACCTTTAATCCCAAACAATGGAAGTAAAGTTAGTTTGTAGAAGGAAGCACCCATGTTTGGAGGACTCTGAGATTAAAATCCTAGCACTCAGGAGGCAAAGGCGAGTGGAACTCTCAGTTCAAGACCACCCTGTCTACAGAGTGATTTCCAGGTCAACCAGGGCTACACAGAGAAACCTTATCTTAAAAAATAAACAAACAGATAGCTTCACCTAGCCCTATACGTTGGTGTACACCTATAAACCCAGAGCTTCGGAGGCAAAGATAAGCAGATTTCTATGAGTTCAAGGCCAGCCTGTTCTACACAGTGAGTTCCAGGACTGCTGGGGCTACAGAGACTCTGTTTTTACATAGCAAGTACATAAATAAATAAACAGCCTCACCTACTAGTGGCAGACAAAGTGACAAAGATTTGACAAAATAGGATTTGCCCAACTCTCAGGAGAACAGAGAGTAAAGAGAGGTTCCTTAAGAGAGAGCGGTACAGGAGGAAAAAAAGCAGTTCTACAGGGAGAGTTTATAGATACAGGTTGAAGAAAGAACAAGCTAGACAGGCCTGTGAAGACAGAAGGAGCCGGAAGATTAGAACATATTTCCAGAGTTAGAAAGAGCTCAAGCAGAGCAGTTCCGGAGCAGGGAAGCCAGACAGAGTCGGTCAGTATGGAGAGGAGCTTGAGCCAGAACAGCTGAGTTGAACCAGCCAGCCAGAGATCAGAAAGAAGAAGAAAGGGTGAGCTTATTCAGCAGCAAGTCTCAGAGGCACAAAACAATTCTAGATCTAGTTAAGATTTTATGGAGGCTAGAAACTTCCAGGACTAGGCCTAGGTTAGCAGACTGAGGCAGTGGGCATCAGAGACAACAGTTTTCTCAGGTGAATAAAAATATGGATGCAAAACTAGAATATGTTGTGTTCATATGTCTGACTTGCCGTAGCAGCAGTCTCCCTGGAATGTCTGTCTTTAAGTCACCGTCTACATCGTAATGCACGACTCTCACAGTTCTAAAGCTCCAGTTTTAACTCTATATTGATCTTTCTTTGTAGGTGTCCTTGCTGGTCATGACAACCGTGTTAGCTGCTTAGGTGTGACTGACGACGGCATGGCTGTGGCCACAGGCTCCTGGGACAGTTTTCTTAGAATCTGGAATTGAGTGCCATATTTTCTGTTCTCCAATAATATGTGGAGAAATCCATGCTACAGCCTATAGCTGTGAGGGGAAAAAAAACAAAAAACTTCTACCTTCTATTTGCAGATGAAGTTTTTCTATTGAGGTGATTATATATAAAAAGCAGCATTCAGTAAACTGTAGTTTATTGAAACTGTTGTAACAAAAATGGTGGTCAAAGAAACAATCAAGGCTAAGATCCCTTGCTGTGGTCAAAGGCCAGGGTATTCATTGAGCAGTTGTGTTGACTTTTAACCCGACAGATTCTTGCTTGTGCTAATTGTTTCTTTGTGATTAGAGTGCACACTTTATAGCAGACAACTGTTTGTGTTTGCATTTTGTTAAGGACTACCATTGAACTTTGTATATATAAGAAATGTCACATTTTTAAAGTGCTGTCATGCAAGAACCAGGGCCTGTGATAGAAGTGATGCCGTAGATACCTGTGCTGTCTGAAGGAAGTCCCCTTGGATTCTGACATCACATTTTAACCTGAGAGTCCCCGACTGCTTTTTGATTAGGAGGGCTGATAGGTGAGGTGGTTCTGAGGGACCCCGTGGCTGTTCATGCATTCTTTGCCACGCTAGGAATTGAAGTGAGTGCTCATTTTGAAGGTAAAAATTTCACTTTAACATAGGGTACACACTGAAGAAATGTCATTACAGTTTATTACATTAGAAACTACTGGACACTGGCATGTAATTTTTGGTATTTTAAGAGGCTCAGCCATTTGAACCATTGGACCTTGCTGTTAATTTTTGCATTCTGAAACGAAGTTTGTAGAAAGTACTAGTATTTGAGAAGTCTGGCCAAAACCTGACTTGTTCCTACATCTGAAGACTCTTGCCTGGTGTTCTCTGTAATAGAAGGAAACAGTGTCTCACCTTTAACATTTTTGAGAAAGGTAAACTCATCCACTCAACTGGCACAAATATATAAATATATGATTTATATGTCACACATATATATGTGTACATGTATTTACACACATATATACACATATATATGATGGCTTTATGAACTCTGTGTAATGTAAAATCTATGTAATGTAAAAACAAGTATAAAGTATTTGTACCCTTGAACTTTTACTTTTCCATTTTTGTGGTGCTGCAGAAATCCAGGCCTTGTGGCCACTAGCCAAGTACTCTACTTAGTACAGCCCTAGCTCCTCAGATCAAAGCTTCCTGCTAAAGCATTGTTTCAAAGGGGTTCAGCTGGCAGCAAAGCTGCACCAACTGTTTGGTAAAGTGTCTGCCACTGGGATGTCCCACCTCCAAACTGAACAGATGCCTCTCCTCTTCAGTTTTCTCCTGTAGATTTAAATGGTTGACAATAGCAGACTGTTATGTCTTGCTGGTGCTGTCTCCTTGGGTTATTTGGATGTATACAAGCACACTGTAAAGCTGCTGCTTAGCAGTTTCTGTGTTAAAGTTGATCACCTGGAACTGTAACCTCAATACTTTTAAACTGCATCTGTGAGTTTTCTCTTTGTACTGTGAATGTGCCCGTGTATGTAACAGCTGTGATCATACCAGCATCCGTTTTATTTATTAAGGTCAGTTGATCTTAATACAGTGGAAAGAGCCTTAGCCCACACAGCTCCAGGGTCCAACCTGGTTGGGGCAGAGAGAGAATGAAAATCAGACACACAGACACAGGAAAGCTGGGGTTGGGTAGACTGGGCTCTGATGGAGAAACCAGCGCCCAGAAGCTCAGAGTTTATTCCACGGAGAAGCACAAAGAGGCAGTGCTGTTGTATACAGGTAACAAGGAGGAAGCATTCGTGGTATACTGCTGGATCAAGGAGACAGGTTTAGCTAATCTCTTCGAGAGCAGTCCCTGTAGGGAAACAATCTTCAGGCTGTAAATATCAGAGGATGGGGGTCAGGGAGCTAAGATGTACATGTTCTACACATACCCAGGAGGGCTTTGCCATTCTCTCGTGGGTCTAAAGCAAGGGTCCTTTATATGGCAGTCACTCAGGACTTCCTCTGCTCCCTAGAGGATAGAGGTGAACTGAGATACAGTATTGAAGAGAAACAGACCATCAATGGCAGGTGTGAATGTGCACCTTATATTTGTGGGGCCCCTTTGCTCTTGTCTATTTGTGAAATAGGGAGAGCTCTCAAACATGGCACAATTTAAAAAGGAAAATTGACAGTGCTGAAGTCTAGCCTTCCTCATACGTGTGTGCTACACCTGCAGCCTGCCCAACGAAGCCAGTGTTGAGGCTCATTAGAGGGTCATGATCACCACAGAAGGGCGTAGGTGTATTTGCTGTGTAGCTCAGAATTCATCTCAAAACAACATTCAGAACAGCACCTCTATTATGTATAAAGCAGGTTTAATCTGGGGTAGAGTGTTTGCAATGCAAGGCCCTGGGTTCAGTCCCTAGTGGAGTGTGTATACATGTGTAGTCATACTAAAAGAACACTGGTCCTAAATATTTTAAAATGTTACTTGGGACTGGAGAGATGGCTCAGCAGTTAAGAACACTTGTTACTCTTACAGAGGACCTGGGTTTGGTTCCCCACACCCACATGGCAGCTCAAACTGTCCCTTCAGTTCCAGGATATCTGACTTCCTTACCCACATACATTCATGCAGGCAAAACATTCATACACTAAAATACATGTTTAAAAAAGGAATGTGCTTTGTTAATAAAAGTTTGTATGGAACAGAACATAAAAGGTTTCCCTTAATATGTAGCCACATGTGGCTAACTGCACACAGTGCCAAGTGCTGACACAGCAATGACCTTACTCAAGCTGCTTTCTTAATGTTGGTGTCTAGGGTTTCTCTGCTGTCTCTGTTGTGGTTGAATACATTGACCTGCTTAGAGTTGCTGAAATTAGCCTACTTAATGTCCCTCAGCAGGTTGACGCAACAACAGACAAAAGTTGTCCTTCAGATGGGCAAGATTTTTTAACATCTGGTGCAGCTCCTGCCCTGGCCTCTAGTTGGGTCTACAGGCATATGCCAGTATGTCACTTTTCCCAAGCATATTGTAGTAGTGTAAAGGCACATGTTCTTTCCTAAACAACACGACCACCATGTGGTTGGGAAAAGACCCTAAAATGCTGTTCAGCAAAGACAGCTCTACCTTGAGACGGACAAGCTTCATTTTTGGCTGCTGTGATATTAAAATATCCCAGGTCTCTTTCTAGCTCATATTTAAGTCGTGACTCACATGCACTGTACTGAATTACAAATTCATGAAGGTGTTGAGTCTCTGAGTGGCTGTCACTTAACTGCACGTTTGTAGAAAGCTAAGGAATGTTAACCGAGTAAAGGAGAAATGAAGCTAAGTGTGGCAATGCATGCTTGTTTTCCTTCACTTGGGACAGGAGCTGAGACAGGAGCACAGAGCCGAGGTCAGCCTGTTGTGGCTATCAGATGGAAACCTTATCCCAGAGGCTGGGGGCTGGCTCAGTGTTGAGCCTGCTTAGTGTTATTGCAGAGAACCTGAGTTGAGTTCCCGTTTCAGGTGGCTAATAACTGCCTTTAACTTCAAGGGAGCCAAAGCCCTCCTCAGGCACTTGGATATACATAGTTTAAAATCAATCCTTTTCTTTTAAAAGGAAAAACACCCTTTATTTTAATAATCATTTTATTGCTGAAAGTACTCTCCAAACCTGTTTTAGATTTAATAGTAAAGCTAAGACGTCATTTCAGAAGTGAAACCATACAGGGAAATTATTTGGATACGAATGACGTTTTGGATTTTGAACTGCAATGTGCTTTGTTACTACCTTAGAAAAACTGAATAAGCAATCTCCCAGATAGGCCTGTCATCATTTCATAGGGAACATACTTTTAGAGTCTGCAGCTCACACCAGGCTTGTACCAATACTTATGTACTGTGTTCAGGTGCTATTATCTGGCCACTGTGGAAAGCATAACTTAAAATGATGTCTTAGCATGTTAGAAATGTAAGCCACCTACAGCAGAGTGCCCTTTATAGGGAGATTGTCTTAAATTGGACTGTGTGGAAAGTGAAGCCCATAGCAGATTCACTTCTGCTTTTTATCTGTTATAACAGGTACCCCCGGGATGTCTAAGCCAGCATTGTTAGCCACAGACTGATGGAACATCTTATATTTAAGAAATGTTTTCCATGTTGTTTTTCCTAAGCTTTTTCTTTCTGCTCAAACTCAATAGCTGGTTTTATAAAACAGGTATAACAATGTAGCATTATGAGGAAAAAACCTATTTCAACTAGTATGACACGTATCCAACAGACTCTTTCAGAGCACCTCCAGTTAACTAGGACGGCAGTGGTCCAGCAGCAGGGTGTCCAGGCGTTTCTGTCTTTATACAACGGTGCTCTGGCGTACCATTGTCTCTCTGGAGGCATGAGATAGCACACACCTCAAGTGTATCTTCAAGCTGGTTTGGGTATTTCTCTATAAGGTATCTTGGAAACCTTTTTCTTCTCCTAAAGTAATTTCCAATACATGAAGCCAATTGACAATGAATGTCAGCCACATCTAAAGCTTACAGGCAGGGCCTTGTGCCATATGACAGATACTCTCATCTGTACAGTTGCTTGTGAAATACTGTTGCAGCAAGCTCATACTGTAATCAATAAAGTGCTGTTCACCATGGTGCATCGTGCCTTGTTTTAAGTCAAATTTTAGTAAGATTTTTAAAATTATGCCCTGGAACTAAACTCAAGTCCAGTACTTTAATGGTCAGCTCTGCTTCCTTTGTTTAAATACTGGTCATGGTCATCATCGTCCTCCTCCTCCTTAGGATTAATTTAGTTCCATTTTTAAAAGTCAATTGTGCTTATACAATAGATTTTTATTTTTTTGAAAAAAAATGCCCAATTTTTTTTTCTTAGATTTATTTATTTTATGTATGTGAGTACACTATCGCTCTCTTCAGACACACCAGAAGAGAGCATCAGATCCTGTTACAGATGGTTGTGAGCCACCATGTGGTTGCTGAGAATTGAACTCAGGACCTCTGGAAGAGCAGCCAGTGCTCTTAACTGCTGAGCCATCTCTCCAGCCTCATCACATAAATTTTTTAAAATATTTGTATTATCACATTACAATTTTAAGATTAACGAGGAGTTTCTATTCCAGGATCTGGGAGGCAGAGACAGGTGGATCTCTAAGGTTGAGCCCATCCTAGTCTACAGAGCAAGTTCCAGGACAGTCGGGGATACCCAGAGAACCCTGTCTTGAAAACAAGGGTGGAGGATGCTTGTATTAGTTCTATCTGTTCAGGAAATCCTCCTGACTCAGCGCCTTTAAGCTGCACACCTGTCATGGAAAACTCAAACTGTACTCCTGACAATGGTGAGCCAGGTATCTCATGCTTTCTGTGACTGGGCAAAGGAACTATATACTGTATATACAATAGTAATGCAGTAACAGGACCTCATGTGTGACAGCTTACATGACTACCATGAAAATGACTGAGAAGAGTGGAAAACAGTCACTAACTGAGATAAATGCTACATTTATAAACTAATAGGCAGATAGGTTTATTTTCATCTTGCAAGCTTGCATACTTATAAAAGTGTTTTGTAAAAAGTTTAAGATCATACAAAGTTTATAAATACTGTAAACATACACAGTAAATCATCACGTATGTGTGTAGTACTCATCAGTAACAGTCATGATCACAGTCTGTAATGCAGGAGCCTACTAGCCACAGGTGCACTCTTGTCTGCTAAAGGAGCTGATGTATTTCAACACTCCATTCTCAACACCCATAACTTGTTAACTTCATCAGCAGGCACTACATTGCTAACCAGTGAGGAAAAGCATTCTGGACTACAGACACTGGTTCGCAGACTTCAGAGTGCACTGGGACAGACCATAGGGCTTCTTGAAGCTTGCTGCAGACCTCAAACTTGATTCTATACCTGGCTGAGGCTTGCAAATCTGCACTTCTTACAAGTTTAAAAGTGATGTTGATGAGCCATGGATCAAACCCAGAGAACCAGGCTGTAGCCTGCTAGTTATGTGCTCCGTGTAACTTTGTAACCCAGGTTAGCAGACCTCAATTTTAGATACTAGTTTTTCATGTAATTTTCACCCAGTCCCACTTGGTTGACTGTACCATTTGGGGGATTAAAATTTAAATACTGCAACCCAACACCCAATCTGCATAAAAATTAAGTATTTCCGAAACTTCTCTATGGTCTAATTAATTATATAATATTGTAATAGTGTTTTAAAAATAAGAGGTGCATCTAGGGCTAGGCATGCCTTCAGTCCCAGCACTCGGGAGGCAGAGGCAGGCTCATCTCTGAGGCAGAGGCCAGCCTGGTCTACAGAACAAATTCCAGGGCAGCCAAGGCTACAGAGAAACCCTGTCTCAAAACCAACCAACCAAACAAACAAACAAATCAGAGGTGTGTACCTATTGTGAAGACAGACCTGTAGGAAAGAAATGCTGAGAGTCTGCTGGATCTCCTCCCCCCTCTCCTCAATGTGGCCATATTAACTAAATA